GGCCCCTATCGCTTTTTTTTCCAGGACGCTCTCTGCAACAGAGCGCAATTACAGTCAGATCGATAAAGAAGCCTTGGCAGCTGTTGCAGCGGTGAAGAAATTTCACGAATTTCTCTTTGGCCACTTTTTCGAGCTAGTCACGGACCACAAACCGCTCTTAGGGTTACTAGCTGGTGACAAGCAGACCCCTCAAATTCTGTCCCCCAGAATGACCAGATGGACCCTTTTCCTAGCAGCATACTCGTATAGACTCGTGCACCGCCCAGGTAAAACATTGTCCCACGCAGACGCCCTCAGCCGCTGCCCCCTGCCTGCCCCAGCTGAAGACCCTGCCCCGGTCAACGCCATTTTTGAAGTCACCCAACTGGACCTCCCAATCACTGCCCTTGATATTGCCAATAAATCCAAAGCGGACAAAACGATCGCCCAGGTACTGGACTGGGTGAGGAGGGGGTGGCCAGGCAGTGACATTGAAGCTAAATTCACTCCATTTAAGACCCGCTTACAGGAACTGTCGAGCTTACAGGGCTGCCTGCTGTGGGGCACTCGAGTGGTCATCCCGACATCTCTGCGTACCCGAGTGCTGGAGGCGTTGCACGAGGGCCACCCGGGCATCGTCAGAATGAAGGCGTTGGCGCGAAGCTACATTTGGTGGCCCGGCCTCGACGAGGACATCAACAAATGGGTAAGCTCCTGTCATCCCTGCCAGGTTTCCCATCCATCCCCTCCAATTGCCACCCCCACCAAGTGGGAAAGTGCCAACGCACCCTGGTCCAGGATTCACATCGATCTTGCGGGCCCATTGCATGGCAAAATGTTCCTCGTGGTCGTAGACTCTTACTCAAAGTGGATTGATGTGGCACAACTATCCACGACCACTTCACAAGCAGTCATCAAGGCATTGACTCGCCTGTTCGTTACGCACGGTCTACCAGACTCCATTGTTTCCGACAATGGTCCCCAATTCGCGTCAACCGAATTCAGTCGTTTTACGGCCAACCTGGGCATTCGTCACATCTTCACGGCCCCCTTTCATCCTGCCAGTAACGGGCTGGCAGAGAGAGCTGTTAGGACCACTAAAGAAGCCCTGGCCAGGTTCAACAAGGATGACTGGCACCACAAACTATCCTGTTTCCTGTTAAGCCAGCATTCAACCCCTTGCACGGTAACCAACAAGTCCCCAGCCGAGCTTCTGATGGGCAGACGCCTGCGAACTGTATTGGACAGGCTTCACCCACATTACTGCCCTGACTCTCCTCTCGCTTCCACATCGGGGAGTAGGCATTTTGTCTTGCAGGAACCCGTGTTCGCGAGAAACTTCGCTGGCGACCCATTGTGGATCCCGGGAGAAATCGTAGCCATCACAGGACCCAGATCATACCGGGTTAAGCTGGAAGATGGCCGGGTCTGGAGACGACATTTGGACCAGCTTCGGAGACGCCAGGGCACCCTCGTCAGCCGCGACTCGTGGGCACAGACCGGTGAGAGTCCGCTGCAACTACCACACAGCAACATCTACCCTGATGACCTGCTAACACCTTCAGCCGGACCAGAGAATCCAAATGCTGACTGCGGCGACCTAGCGTCCAACCCATCCGAGCCAGACGGCGTGAGGACACTCCCAGCGTCCAGCCCTTCTAGCCCCGGACCTGCTCCGACCGAGGGTGGTACTCGGGACTCATCATCAAGCCAACAGTCACCGACGGACTCTGATCCACCAAACAGCACACCAGAGTTGCGCCGCTCTGGACGTCAGCACAAACCTCCCGTATACCTCAAGGACTATGCGTGTTCGCATCTGGGGGGAAGGGGTGTTATGTCCCTGGACCTTGAAGAAGTTCCCACCCAGGTCCGTTCACGCTGCAGGGGCAGCTGCCCCTTCTCATTGGCTGGGTTTCCCCAGCAGCCTGCTATAAAAGCAGGCTGCTGGGTCCAGCCCTTTCGCTGTTCGCTGCGAGCCAGTTCCAGGCTGAGCAAGCACGTTCAGTCCTTGTAAATAAACCTTGTTGCACTAAGCCCTGGTTCAGCCTCTTATTTCCCATACTTAATACAAATTATTCAGCAAATATGACAGATATAGGATCCAATCTGAGTTGGTCACCGGACCAGAGGTTTAATTTTCCAAATTTTCAGACTCATGTTGGAGCCCATCCTCAGGAACTTCTCTCTCTCTAGATTGTGTCACAGCATGAGTCTGAAAGCTTGGAAGGACAAACCTCTGGTCCCAGTGATTGCTTCAGACTGGATCCTGCAACATTATACTGGGGCACATATATTTGCCTTCATTCATGACAGATATAACTAGGGTTTACCCAGGTTTGTATAACATTCCCAAATTAACTTACTGTATATGGAAAAATAAAAATTGTGGTTGGATTCCCTGCATTAAAATCCAAACTACTGAGTCCATCCAATTAGTTACTCAATGTATTATGTTCTGCTATTCTATTAAAAGTCCTGTTTTACCATATTGTACAAAGCAACATGTTTACAATAACACAGCAATTAAAATGCAGCAATTTAAAGACACAAAACATTAAACAGTAAACCATGAACCAGATTGGAAAGCCATTTATCTCCTCCCTCCCTCCCTCCCTCCCTTCCTCAAGGCATGCATCCTTTTTCATATGCTGTCTAGGTAAAAAAAAGGAGAGATCTGGCCAAGTGATCTTCATTGGAAGGGCTCCTGGTGCCACTACCGAAAGGGCTTCCCATAAGTTCTTCTTTCTCATCACACTGTAGAGGACCGAGGCATTTTACTGAAGCTTCTGCTGACACAAAAGACTCATGGGGGTTAGGCAACCTTTGGTCTCAAATAAGGGGGTCATCTAATTTAGTTAATAGTTGGTTTCATTAGATGCTTTCAGCTTCTCTTCTTCACCTCATCTGCTCTTGTTTGCAATAAAATTGTAATACTTCACCTAAGCACTTAAACAACTCAATAAATGTAATATGTGCTTGTTCTCTCTCTCACTGTCCCCCACCCCCAATTAGGTACTGGGCTTAATGCCTTCCTTTAATAGTGCCATAATTATGCTACCTGAGCAACTGGGAGCAAGAATTTAGAAGCTAAGCACTAATTCCAAGATGAAATGGGCACTGGTCATTAGTGTCTCCATTTTTTATAGGCTGGATCTGCTAACCTTCATTTGATTATTTGCAGAATATCAGAATTTCAACTGCATCAGATGAATTAAGGGAGAAGGATAAGAGATGGGTATGTTAAATGGGAAAATAAATAAATCATAGGATATATGAGTCAGTTTTGTCTAGTGCAGTAGTGGGATTCAAAAAATTTTACTACTGGTTTTGTGGGCATGGCTTGGTGGGTGCAGCAGGAGAAGGATAGTGTAAAATCTCCAGTCAGAGGTGGTATTTTCTGGTTCTTTGAACTACTGAAAATTTCCACTATTGGTTCTCCAGAACTGGTCAGAACCTGCTGAATACCATCTCTAATCTAGTGATTAAGGCATTAAACCACAAACCAGGAGATTGTGAGCTCTAGTTCTGCCTTAGACATGAAAGCCAGCTGGCTGACTTTGGGCCAGTCACTTCCTCTTAGCCCAATTCACCTTACAGGTCTGTTGTTCTGAGGAAAATAGGAGGAAGAAAGAATATTAATTTGCCCACCACCTTGAATTATGTAATAAATCATAAAACATGAGGATTAAAAATCATATATTGCTAAAATTTATAGCTATATAAGGGATGCGGAGGCTCAGAAAGGTTGTCAGTTCGGCGGTTCAAATCCCTAGCACTGCGTAACGGAGTGAGCTCCCATTACTTGTCCCAGCTTCTGCCAACCTAGGAGTTGGAAAGCATGTAAAAATGCAAGTAGAAAAATAGGGACCACTTTGGTGGGAAGGTAACAGCATTCCATGTGCCTTCGATCTTTAGTCATTCTGGCCACAAGAACACGGAGATGTCTTCAGACAATGCTGGCTCTTTGGCTTTGTAACGGAGATGAGCACTGCCCTCTAGAGTCGGAAACAACTAGCACTTATGTATTTACCATTACTTTATAGCCATTTTTCTATCCTAGCTTGCAAAATGATCCAAAGACACAATCTGGAAGTATTGTTGAAGGATAACTAAAGAACTGGTATGCTTTTAAAAATAGATGCAGTTATAAAGTGCAGAACTTCAGTCACTCTGAAAGACAACATTCTTATGCTTGAATGCATATAACAGTTTTTAAAAATGTAGTTAGTTTGAAAAAAAACCCAGACTGAATAATAGTAAAAAGAAACATCACCACACTTTGCACAAATAGCATCTCTTTATCCAATGTTTTCTTTATTTCCCAAATGAGAAATTATTATATAATGTTACTAGTAGAGTCGGGTAATTATGCATTTAAAAAACTCTAGGCCTATGAGTCCTTTTTTTCTCTTAGTTGGCCATAGGTATGAATTCACTTATTTTAAAATATGATGAGCTGGCTCTCTTGTGTATGGAGTATTCCTGCTTATTCTGCTGATGGGCCCTAGACTTCTTCCCCAAAGGTTTTCCCTGAGGATACCATTGGATTTACGAATCTTATTAATTGTGCACTGCTGTTTTATTAAATTAGAATAGATTAAGCCAGAGATGATGCATTAGAACTGGCCCCAAGTCTTCTGGGCTGCTCTTTGCTAAATTGCCGACAGTGCAGAGAAATGTAACAGGCCCTTGGAAGGAGATCAGAGTAGGCAATTTTGTGAGGAGAAAATTCTACATGTTAACTAAGTCCATCACAAAGTAAGGCTTAAAAATCAAAAGAATTAACTGGAGACAAGCCAGCAGCCTTACCTAAAGCAGATGGCAGAATTTGTTTTACCTAGTCCATTTATTGTCCTGCTTTCTTTAATACTCTGTTTATTCTTCTATTCATTTGTGAACTACCCAGGGCATCTCAGCAAGCAATAACACCCGCCTGTCCTTGGCTAGGCAGAGTGAGTGAGTGGCCCTTGGGCTGATCATGATAAATGATAAGTTATTCCCATCCCGTTGCCAAGAAAGCAACACAAATCTGTCCATCTCAACAGAATCCTCATCACTGGACTGGATTAGAAAACATATTGTATAAATTCAACTTCCCTGATTGCTACCATGACTCCCTAGGAGGTTTCATATAGACATTAACACTGGCGAGTGAAGTAAAACTTTGCAGCAACCTGCTTAAAACCTGTGAAGGACCGCAGTGAAACCTCCCTATTGAAAAGTCTTCTCATAAGCTTCCTTTCACGAGGGTATTTATGCTCCAACTCAAATCCCTTTGAAATTAATGGGACTAATCAAGAGGCTTAGCCTATCGTTGTTCAGAAAAGTAATTGTGCATGTAATTAATTCTCTTTCCAAGGATGCAAAATTAGCCTTACAGCAGGATGTTAAGTAGAAGATAGAACATAATTCTCAGTAAGGGATGGTACACTCAATTATGAATCTCAGAGTTACAAAATAATAAGTGCTCTAAACTGAAGTGGGGGAGTGGAACAACATTGAGCTAGTTGAGGTCACTCCACCATGCTAATGCAAAGGCCAAGCAGGACAAAAGAATTGGATAATGGATTATATATTATGGATAACAGCTATACATACATACATACATACATACATACATACATACATACATACATATATATATATATATATATAGTTGATATTTTCATAGAATTATCCATCTTCTAGATGTATTCGATTGCAACTTCCTTCAGCTACATACTTTTCCAACTCATCTGAGGAGTAAAACGATGAGAAATGGAGATGATCAACATCACTTGTAAGCTGATGCCTGTGAATCCCTAATAATGCTTTTGCTAAATTCATATGGATTGCTATTGCCTGCTACTCATCCAGTGCAAATGAGAATAGAAGAAGTTCCAAGCAGCATAACGGCAGCCCACCAATAACATCATAATCGAGGTGGTGATTAAATTGTCAGTAGTGTGCCATGCTGTGCACCATCTGCCCACCTCCTCTGTTCCCTCTCCTTTGGGAGTCCACAGAGGGGCATTAACCACCACAATATGGCATCTGTACTCAACTTCCTGGTTTTTAATCTGCTTTTAAAAATGTATTTGCAACCCACATTTAACTTCAGTGCCTGCCAGCCTTCCAGTATCTTAGATTTTAAACCTTCAGATCACCTCTGAGAGCAGCAAAAACACACTTTCACCATTTCCAGCCTCCAGTCCAGATTTGATGACTTCAGAAAGAAGACAATTTCTGCCCTTTATGCAAATGTTTTGCTGTTCTTGGGGCAAAATTAGGATCCAGATCAAAGCACTCATTGAATCCACTTCCCTGCTTACTAAAATATTGTAGTACACGTAGTCCTCAACTTATGATTACAATTGACCCCAATTTTTTTGTTGCTAAGTGAGACATTTGTTAAGTGGACTTTGCCCCATTTCACGATCTTTCTTGCCACAGTTGTTAAGTGAATCACTGTTAGTAACTTAGTTGTTAAGTTGGCTTCTCCATGGACTTTGCTTGTCAGAAGGTTACAAAAGGTAACCCTAGGGCACTGCAACTGTCATAAATATGAGTCTGTTACCAAGCATCTGAATTTTGACCACATGACAACCAGGGTGCTGCAACGGTCATAGGTGTGAAAAATGGTCATAAGTCACTCTTTCAGTGCCGTTATAATGAGTCACTAAATGAAATTGTTGTAAATCAAGGACTACACTTGTTATCTTTTCTGCATCTAAAGCAGCGGTCGCCAACCTTTTGGACCTCAGGGACCACCAAACTCATAATTTTAAATCCCACAGACCACTAATATGGATTTTGACTGACAGTGGCTTGCTGACATTGGTGGGAAAGTTGGTGCCATATTCCAGAGCTGCAGTGGCCCTTTAGTCATCCCAGAGCAGCTGTTCCTCCACCCGAGTGCACCGGCCTGCCATGGACTGGAGGAGGTGCTGCTCTGGGATGACCAAAGGGCCAGTCCTTTGACTACTGCAGCTCTAGAATATGGGACCAACTTTCCCACCGTCAGCAAGCCACGCTGGGTCGGATTTCCCTCTCCTGCCATTGGTCTTACCTTCCAGTTCCAGCTTGTGTGGCTCTACTCAAGGTAAGGTTTGCACTTGGCTGAAGGGTGGGGGCCAGTGGGTGGGTGGGCCATGTGGGTAGCACAGCCTTGCAGGAGCACATCCTGGATTAATCGCTTTGGGGGGAGTGCTTGGGGGGGCATTTCTCTACGGACTACCAAAATTTTCTCGCGGACCACCAGTGGTCCCCAGCCCACCAGTTGGCGACCACTGATCTAAAGCATTACTTGATCTATTGTCACCATAAAGCACATTTATATCTCTCATATCTTCGTCTGAGAAGTTGAAATTGGTTTACAATACATGGGCTTCCACATCTGTCCCTGGATTTCTGTGAGGTTATAATGTTTAGTTTAATTTACTTTGTTGTCATTGCACCTCGTACAACGAAATCAAACATCATCTTCAGTGCACATCATGACCATGAAAAATAAACACAAACACACATCCTTCACCCTTCACACATTGAACTGGAAACCCCCAACACCACACCAACACTGCACTGTACAGCAGAATTCAAAAGAGCTACTGCCCTGAGATAGAAGTTATTTTTCAGCCTATTTGTCCTTGTTTTTATTATTCTGAATCATCTGCCAGATGGTAATAGTTCAAAAAAGGGTGCCCCGGATGAGATGGATCTTTGAGAATATTTTGAACTTTCTTAAGGCAGTGGGAGCTATAAAGCTCTTCCAAAGAGGGGAAAGGACAACCAATGATCTTCTGGGCAATGATGTTAACACTCTGGAGTGCTTTCCTATCCGCCACTGTGCAATTGGCAAACCATACAGAGGTGCAGTAAGTTAAAATACTCTCTATGGTGCAGCGGTAGAAGGTCACCAGCAGTTTTTCATTCAGTTGTTGTTTTCTGAGACGTCTCAGGTAGTATAATTTCTGCTGGGCCCTTTTGATCATTGCTGCAATGTGAGCACCCCAGGTTGGGTCCTCTTTTATGGTAAAATAAATAAATAAAATAAAATTTTAATGGGTGAGTAGTGGAGAGGAGAATCCGTCTAATTTAGATTTGGATCTAAATATAATATACAGTACACATAACTTTTTAGAAGAGAATTGGTGACACTGCAAACAATTGTGCTTTTATTTTTATTTGGCATCTGTAAGTGGCTTTTCCAAATATGGACAAATTAAGATAAAGGAAATAACATAACATTTTATTTTAATTTTCCTTTCAGGCCCTGTGATCCTTAATTCATTTTAGTATTCTTATTTTGGCCTCTCTCTAGACTTGCAGTGTCATTAGTTAGTTCTGGGTCACATGGATGGGTCACATGAGACTTCCAAATTCTAGCCCTGTCCTTCAAAATAAATGATGTGATGGAAAAAAATACATTTTGTCCATGTTCCATTTCAGAAAGTGCGCACAGGACACGTCTACCTTCATTAAAAAGGATATTCTCCACAAGTGGCAAAATAATTAATTTTGTCAATTGTCTGCCTGCTTCTTTCACACCAGACCGGAAAATATTTTATGTTTATGGCTGTGTATAGAAGCTGACAAAGTTCATAAAACATTATAATGAGTAGGTACTTAGCTCAATGAATATGAAGACAATAAAGCTGAAGCCTTTTTTTTTTAAGACAAGAGTGTACAAGCTTGAGGCTAAATCTATTTTAAGCTATGGTTAATTGTGAAGACTTTTTAAATTGTTTTTGTTTTCAGCTGAATTTGCTAAATGCTGGTAATTAATTTCTCTCTAGTAACCATGATGATAACACTTCACCTAGGTTTCGTAACATTTTGACAAAAAAAGCCTGTAAACCTTCAAATCTGATGGATGATTAAGACAACAGAAGATGTAATTAACTTGAGAAGAAAACTAGAAAGCCTTTTTAAGAATCAAAGGGAGGAAAGCTCTATTGTGTCATTCACCTTTGACTTCTATCATTGAGTTGCTTCACCTGTTGCTCCCGGTGTGACATCTCTAAATAATTCTTTGTGGTTTCATTGCCTTCTTGTTTGCTGCTTTTTTGAAAAAAATAATTTCTTCACAATGCAGCAATAATTCTTCTCCCAAAAGGCAATTTTTTTGTTCCCTTTAAAAATGCTACCCACTTGGCAATATTAGAGAGTGAATAGGATTGCAGTTCTAGGCTGGGTGTCTATACACTAGCAGTTTTGATTGCAATATTCCACTGTCTTCCCTCCTTCCTTTTTTCATCAATCTCTGCTCGCTTGCTCCTTCTCACACACAAAGAGACTTGGCCTTTAGCAGATATCAATCTGAAAAATGTCAAATCAGTGATACTCTTAGATGGCAAAATAGGACTGATCTGTTTAAGATTGACTTATTTCTTCCATCAGTCAGGCTTTCATTTCTTAAATTCCTACATTAGTTCTTTATTAAAATATTCAAGGCAGGGTTTACATTAATATTCTATATTATTCCTCCAGCTTCTCTTTAGGAAAATCAAGACAGCATCCATGGTGCTTCACTCTCTAGTTTATTACATCTTTGTTGCTTGGAGAGAGAAATAGTAACTAGATGACAGTTAAATAAGCATTGGAAAGATTTGATCACAAGCTTTTCTCTTATAGTCCTGTTGCTATTAATCCTGCTGGTTAGCTAATTAATCAGAAAGATTAATTAAGTGGAGGTTTTTTTTCTTAGATTCATTTTTTAATATTAATCTTCAGTTCAGAATAACCCCAAACCAGGTACGTTAACTTTGGTTTTCACTCATAAACATAGTTAGTGAGAGGAAAGCCAATGTTATCACATCATGCTTTGCAGCCTATTATGTATCCATTAATAAAGGAGAATATTTGTAATTTGTATCAGGGTTGAAATGAGTGGTCCTTGATGCTCTCTCTGAGTTTTGATTGGGGTTTTTTTGCAGACATTTCATTACTTAATCTATGTAACATCATTAGTGCTAGGTGTATATCCTAGTGGCTTTCCCTGTCAGTCTGTGGTGGGAGTCTCTTTTGCATAGTATGTAGATATTGTTTATGTCTATGTGTCTATTGATGGCTAATTTGTCAGAGTGCCAGCTTCTAGAAATTCACTAGCATTTTTGGACTTGGCTTGGTCTAGGATGGTCACAGTTTCCCAGTTAAAACTATGGTTAAATCTGTATGTATGTTGTGAAATTAAAGAATTTTCATCATGTATTCTGACCACTAGTTGGTTTCATGGATGCGTTCTGCCAATCTTCTGCCTGTTTGTCCTAGTTAGTGGCTGTTGCAGTCTTTACACTGTATGTTGTAGATCAGGAGTGTCAAACTCCCATCAACACGGTGGCATCACCTGATGTATCGGGACTTTTCCCCCTTTCATTAAACTGGGTATGGGCATAGCACATGATGCATCTGGCCTGCAGGACAGAACTGTTGTAGATGGTTCCCATTTTTTCTTCTTGGGCTGCTGGCTCTTTTGATTTCCTTAGGATGATTTGAAGGGTTTTAATTGGCTTGAGTAGTGATTCAAGAAAAGCCACGTGGCTGTGGTGCTCACAGAGCCACAGTATACAGTTGCAGTATGGAACATTGGTGATTCCATGCAGTTGTACTAGTGTGTTGGTGGTTTCTGAGATGTTCTTGATGCAATGCAGTGTTATTCTTTTTATGGATTGTGCCAGGAGCTGTGGTGGCACAGTGCTTAGAATGTAGTATTGTAGGCTAACTCTGCCTACTGCCAGGAATTCAGTCCTGGCCAGTTCAAAACAGTTCCATTCTTCCAAAGTCGCTAAAATGAGGATCCAA